ATAATTTTTTATATCAACAAAGAGATGAAAACATCAAAATAGTAATTTTTGTTACAGTCACATACGTACTCTTAAGATATATATGTAGTTTTCTCAGCTAATTGCGCATGTTTATCGTTGAGATTATTCATCTGATCTGAATATTATGACATACACTTAATATATAAAAAACAACACCAAGTAATAAGAATCTGAAGAAGTAATAGAGACAAAAACAAAAGAAGAATAGATATTCTCTTTAATTATCACAGAAGAATATTATTGTTTCATATCCAATCAACTCAACGTTTTTTAAAACCATAGTATTTATAATCATTCCTTTCGAACATATAGTCAACAATTCATTATCACTGTAATAGTAAATGTTACATCTTCACTCTTGTTGTCAGTACTGCAAACTTACGTTTAAAAAAAAAAAAGAAAATCAAGAAAATATATAAAAATTAAAATACGTCAATAGCATTAAGTCTCGATAATCTCAATACTTATCCAAATATTTCGTATGACTTTACTCTTTATATACATAGGAAAAAAATATCATATATGCTTTTTGAAAAATATTATTTCGAAAATCGATATGGTAGCAAAAAACAACTGATAAAAACCTACTATTCAAAACTAATTTTGATCCTTATACTTCCTCACTAGGAAATTGTGGGTCATGTTAGACCTGAACTCACAAAAACGTGGATCCATACCTTCCTATAGCTAAGCATGGAAAATTTCTGTTCAAGACTTTTAAAACTGATATCTATTAGTTATTTTAAATGATCGAAAGTCAAATGCTACAAATTCAACACAAGCAACCTTAATTTTTTGGCTTAATTCGATCTGGAGTTGCTGGTTCATTTGTTGAAGATGCATAAAACTGATTGATACTTGTTTGAGTATTGGAAACTGTTGTTTTTTGTTTTTATTTTGACAACTATGAATAGTGAATTAGTAATAAAATTTGATTTATAAAGAAATATATCTTCATTTTGATTGCATAGAATATATTCTTACTGGATTTCGTTTCCATAAATATAACTAAAACTATTTTATATAGCTGAAGATTTTCAATGATGAATTTTGTTTATGAATCAACTGTTCAATTTTCTTTGTGGTTAACATGATGTTCTTTTCAATCAGAATGAAAACTTTTAGGAAGTGACTATGTACACATAGTCAATAGACTAGGTTTACTCATGTAGCTATAATCGATTAATTAGTGAATATTAAGTTATATTATAGTTTTATGTATATTTGATTATTAATATAAACTCAATATCTTAGCTTTTTAATGATCTTATTTTATTAATTCTTTATTATATTCAATAAAATATAAATCAAATATTAATATACACAAACATAGAAAAAAACGTAAGTCAAATAAAGATGAGCTAATATAGAAGCATTTCTAGTGCCTCTTTCTCTTAGGCTTTTGAAGGAAACGGTTAGATTTTATTATTTTTAATACAATAAATGACAGCTATTTCGTGTCACTGCTTTTCCTCTCGTTTATTGCACCTTTTTCCTTGTCGATTAATTATAAAATAAAAGATTTCATATTTTCTTTTCTTAGTTAATTAGCTTAAAACTGAGAAATTGAAAAACATATGAAGAGTGAATTAGCTCGCAATCCGAGAAGGTAACCTTTCCTGAGATAAATTGATTAATTTTTACTTTAATCTTTTCTCTATTCCGCTTTATGAATACTTAATGATTTGTTTGATTGTGAAAAATTTAAATTGTATACGGATTCATTGGAGAACTCGATTTTTGCTTTTAATGCAAATAATAATCACTGACTAACAATCTCAAATTTGGATTATACTAATAGTTGAAAAGTTTATGATTCGTTAAGTTATCCAAAAGAATCAATAATTAACTTGTTTTAGGACATTATATAGGTTACTGAGGTCATAATCTGTTAACCTGCAATAGAAATCTTGCCAATAGCATGCTTAGTAGATTTCGAAGACTATGAGAAGTGGTTTTTAGTTAGAATAACTTATTTACATATATTTATAGCATGAAGATTAATGATGTTGTATTTCTGATTGCGCTAATCCCTGCCAACACAAAAAGCAAGCATGTGCTCGGTATTCCTTTTTTTTTTATTCGAAAGCTTTAATTTTTCAACCTGAGAATTCAATCGACTATCCATGAGCGTTTTCAATAAGAATACATTTGTATTGAAAAAGCTGTACGTCTTACTGTGATCTGCATCTGAGTTTATTATAAATAGGTGGTGAGAACGATTGGGTTTTCTCTGTTATTTGCACGAAGCAAGATATTTTCCTTTAATCGTTAGAAGCTTAACCTTCGGATCTTATATGAAAATGAGATTGTAACTCGTCTTATTGTCTTTGATCAACCTGAAGCGACTTTTTCTTGTAAAGCCAATCAATATCAGGATATCGAGTTTATAACGAGTCACTATGGAACTGTTTATTTCTTGGTCACTCTTTTAGAAACTAGAGAAGTTTCTTACCACTTCTCTTATATGTTACATCAGCAAGAAAACAGTTTGAGTCAATCTTCAACTCTAATGATGCTTCTGAGGACAGTACCTTTATTGACGTGATTTATCTTTGAATTGTGACAAAAATTTAGTCTTCATTACCCAGCATCTTATATGATAGTTAGAAAAATATCCTGTTAGTTCTTCAAAATGCTGACTTCTTTCCGCTGAAAACTTACGTCAAATATAGTGTATATTTACTAAAAAATTTGAAAAAATAAGTTATACGATCACTATCGTCTTACGTATAATGATCAAAGCAGCAATAAATTTATAGACGATAAAATAGTATGTTAACTGGCATCATATCAAAAATCGCTAATAACTGAATTTTTAAATTAATCTACTTCAAACTAGATCTCTATCGAAAAGTTTTATAGCATCTCATTTACCTCTCACCAATCTTTGTCGATAGTAATATCAGAGCAATTCAGCTCTTCGAAAAAAGTCTGTGTTTAAACGTGCAGAAGAATTCCTTCAGGATAAATATAGCAGAACAAACTGTAGATTACAAAAGTCCTTAATTTGAAAGACTTAACTTTAAATACCTATATAAAAAAATTGATAGCTAGTTGTTTTTGATTTTGATGGAAATATTGTAGATTTATTTTAATTTAAACTATGTTTCTCGTTGTGGTTAGAGACAAAATCGAATAATGAAGCTGATTTAATTCAATTTAAATAGAGCTACTACGATATCTCCACATTTAGTCTTCAACATTTGCAATCTAATTTTCTATTCTTTTCCCTAATAATCAGACAACAGATAGAAATGAAGTATTACAATCTTGAAATTTGTTCAGCAGATAACATTTTCTTTTCTATTTCAAGTCCATTATACAACTGCCCAATTTATGTTTATCTTTCCACACAAGTATTCTCTAGAGAGTATTCATCATCCGATCATACTAGAGTTCAAATTAGACATAGGAATATTTGATAATCTTGTCTCCTTTTCCCCACCTTCAATCTTCTTTACCTACCACTGGTATCGCCAGTTGATAGAACCACAAAAAGTCCCCTAAAGAGATCAGCTTCTCTTTAAGAAAACTCGGTCGCAGAAATATCGATGAACATACTAAAAAACTGCTACATGTTCAAGTATTTGGGATTTTCTCTTCTGTCGTTCTTCTGTTTTCATTTTTTTTACCCCTATCAGTCGATAGAACTTGAAAATTAGGATGCATAGTCCAAGCTTGACGTCGCCGAAAGACTGATCTCGTGCCACACGTCCAATATATAGATAAATCTAATCGAAGGACCAATTTCGCCAGAACTTAGAGCTTTTGACCATGCTGTACACCTTTTCAAATTATTTTTAGTGTTACCAATGGAGAGAGCTTGAAAAACTACCCGAATGGTCCAAATTTCATGCTCCAACATCAATAGTTTCTTAAAATGTTATCCAGACAAAATCCTATGCATAAGAAAAAGGATCAATTTTTCGGTCAGAATGACCACTTTTTTTTCAAAATTACATTTTTTCCTGCACAAAAAGCTCAGACTTATAGAGAACTCAAAATTTTGGGCTAGGAAAAAAGTTTGTGGGTAAACTTAAGTGATTAATTATTCTATGAGGACTTCAACAATGAAAACTGGGATGGCAGAGTAGTTAGAACTATCTTAGGAATAAAAGGATTTCGAGAGCTCTTAATGTGATATTCGTAATCATCATATTTGAATCTACAAGCACATTCGGTTTTGACTCGAAAAAAAAATCGCTTTTTTTTATGATACCTGAGGGGAATCCCAGGCACAAAAATCGTCAATGTTGATTTTCGGGGAATAAAGTTGAAAAACGTGATCAGGGAGGATTCCACTTTCCACAAGTCAAAAACGCTCACGCTCATGAGCGCTCATATGAGCGTGAGCTGAACATCCCTAAAAAGAACTATTTGTAAAATGAAAAAACTATTATTCAAATACTTTCATTTTTTGATTTATGACTTTCATCTTGAAATTCGATCAAATTACGAATTCTCTCGATGTATACGAGATTTTCTCAATTGTTCGTCTTCGAAAGAGAGTCATCCATGACATTAACATTTACAATTCTGTTCTTGTTGGAATAAGGTGGTGAAAGAATGAACTGAAGAAGTTCCAGTTGATCCGCTTGATGTTGAAGTAATCGAATGGACTCCTTCCTTGAATCGATATCTTCTTGTGTTGGTTCTTCTTCTTCAATGAACTAGGGTGTGGGTGGTTGTGGCCGTGACTGTGAAGTGGGTGTGGATGGGTGGGTGAACATGAGTGTTGGTCTGACTGTGGGAGGGCTCCTGGGTCAAAAGAGGAACTACAGTCAGACATCCACACCCACACACTAGTTTTGTTACCATCACTTATCAATCATATGAATTTCTAATCAACTGAGTTGATTACCATTTCAAATGTTATTTAATAGATTCGATAATAAACTAATTACTTAGAATCATTCGATTATTATTTTAAATGAAGCTCAACTTAATAATGGAGAAATAAAAATAATCATATCATTTTACAAATCATTTTTATATACATTGTCTTCGACTTTATTTAGAACTATTTTATTATAATAATAATTGAAGATTGTTGATTGTGGTAATGATATGCATGTGTTCCATAATTTCGATGCGCCTGTTAAAATACCGATAAATTCCCATTGATTTCTATTTAATGATGAAACACAAGGAGCGCCGCTGAATCCATAAGTTGATGGAGTATCTATGAACAACTTTCGATTATCAATTAATCGTAATTGTCCAGTACAATTCATGAATTTATTATGTAAAAAAAAATGTTCTGGTGTTTTACCATGAATTGCAGGAATACTTATCAAAGGTGATAATGAGGAAAAAAAGGGATCAATAATAAGATCAAATGAGACTGGTGGTCTACTAACGAATCCAATTACACTTATAGATGAACTAAATGATATTGATTGACTATTGTTTAATGCTGCTTGACATACTTCAATGTAACTAAACAGGTTCGTTTCAATATTTGAACATTTTATAATGGCTAAATAAAAAAGAAACAGAATTCATTTCTGAAATTTTCAATATTATTTATGATAGAGATTGAAAGTGAAGTCTTACATAATAGAATTATTTAAAAACTTTAATAGAAAATAATTAAATAAGAAATATGTAAAAGTTAAATATTAAATTGGGACATAGCATGTCGAAACAGAAACAAAAATCTATCTATTTTAGAGAACTATACAATTAACATATTTATTTAGTTTTGATTATTTATTCATATAAATTTACTAAAGTATTTTTACTTTGAATTACTCTTAACTATGACTAATTATTTTATAGAAATTATTTTTTTTTTGACAATATATATTAGTGTTTTGAATTTAACTTTATTAATATCAGTTTAATTTTAAAAAATGTTCGAATAGATTAAATTTCGAAATCATTGTCGATAATTGATAAGAAATCGAAATTTTAAAAACAGATTTTCTTTTTTGAATTATTTATTATATAAATACCAGAATTATCGAAACATGTTCGATTATAATCAAATTCCAACGAAAAAAAACAAAACAAATCCTTTCAATATTCAATGGACTTATTTCGTTTCTGTTTTTTTTTAATAAATAATAATGATTTTTGGTTTTGACTATAAAATCGAAAAACTTATAATCTATTTCTTGAAAAATAGTGCTCAGCTATTTTTAGAAATCTTGGCTAATTCATTCGAAAAGAGATTTACCACTTGCTAATAATAGATTCATTTCTCTCGTTTAAAAAAAAACAGGATATGCTCTCAAAGTTAGATTGAGAAATGATAAGTTTTCATAGGAAGTTATTCATTCATCTTCAATATATAGATTTTTACGTTATTGAATTAAATTTATCAAGATTAAGAAAAAAATTCAAATAATAATTTTCCTAACCTATATCATCCCACCAATCTTTTGACAATATTAATTTTGATGATATTAACTGACAATTCATTGAATATGATCCGATATTGAAATCATTTTTTCCTTCAGATACTACACGAATTCGAAATAATGATTCAAATAAAAATGGATAAATCATTAATATAATACAATACATAAAGCATGTGCAAATTATCATATATATAATTAAACCACAAAATACTTTCAATAGTTGTTGAGAAATAATCGATGAATAAAAGATAAGCGATCCTATTAGAATGATTAATGTTGTTAAAAAAGTAATAATAGCGAAAGTAAAGAAACTTAAATTCATTTGAGGTACAGCTATATGAAATGTTGTTAAAATAATAATAGAAGATATATCATTTTTGATTGATTTAAATATAATAACTCCAGTTCCAGTTGATTCTTGAGCAAAATTAATAGACATGTATTTAGGCATATATTTATGACCTATTTGTATAATGCAACGGGAGATACGTTCAGTGAATTTCACTTCATTGCACGAACCCAAAATTTTATAAGTTTGACCAACTTGTTCAACAAAATGACGATAATTTACTGGAGGCTTTGGTAAACGATCAAAATCATCATTTGTTATACTTTGTTCGACTAATAAGATTAAAAAAAATACTAGATTTTTCATAATAAACATAATCTAAAAGATAGAAATAAATATATTATATATTATGATATTGAAAAGAACAATTTTTTTCTAGTATTTTTCAAATTTAATTTAAAAAAACCAGTTTATGTGTGTTACTCACAAATTTGATACCAAAACTTCTTTTATCGATCGAAAATACTCTTCATCTTTTTTACAGAAATCAACTGAACGAATTAGTTTAGATTGGTAATCAATCTATACCTCTAGTATGATGTTTTCTCGATAGATTTATGTTTACTTATCTACTCACTCATGCCAATCAAATAACTTCCATAATATCTTTTGGGATCAAACGCACTGCAGAAGTGAATTAACTTAGCTCTGTTGTAAACCAATACTCGTCCACACTAAACAATTAACTCACTGATGACAATGCAGGAAACGCCACTTATGTATCATCATATGAAAATATATTACTTTGAAAGATGTCATTCTTGTATGTGCAAAATTCTCAATAAGGATATTAATAGTACGTGGTCTGATGAAAAAAAGGTTAAGATAAGCTACACTCACACACACGCTACACACAATAGTGTGTATATCTTATCCTTTTTCATTTACACCAATCATATTGCATTCTATGTTATATCTATATTTGTCCATTTGTCATTTTTTTTTGCATATGACTACTGTAGTTAAGTCTTATTCGTGCATATTTGATCTTTAAAATGAACTTGGATAATCAATCTGTATTTTTATTTATCTAATAAAATGAGACAAAGATAGTATTGTCATAATTATATTAAAACGGGAATTCTTGATCCTTATATGATCATTTTCAACTAAATATCAAGGCTTAAGATATTAAAAAAAATTTGAAAATTAGTATCATAATCAATTTAAATGTCATGAACGTTTAACAACATAAACATTCATATCATAGATATTAGTATCATCATATCGATTGAAAAAACAGTCTTGATATTACCTTATAAATATTGAAATTTATGCCGTTATTTTCACTTTTTCTACATACTTATTGCGTATTGCTTAGAACTCAAAATATGAATTTATAAAACTTAAACTTCCTAGATATTTCTTATATGTTAATATCAAGGTTAGTTTTTCAATCGATATGATGATACTAATATCTATGATATTAATGTGTATGTTGTTAAATGTTTATTGTGTTTTAATTGATTATGATACTAGTTTTCGTGTTTTTTTAATATCTAAACTCTTATTATTTGGTTGAAAATGATCATATGAGGATCGAAAACTCAGTTTATAATATAATTAGAATAAATTTTCTCATTTAAAACTTTTATCTTTATCTCATATTATTAGATTTTGGATTAAGCGTAATGTATCATTGCTATCATACACACCGAATTTCCTAATTGTTGCCGACACTCTCAAAGACGCTAATCTTTTCCATTCAACTATAACATATCGCAATATTTTATTGCAGATTAATTCCATTTTGAATATATGAGCACAGACATGTTTCCATGCCAAAACTATGAAATAGGAATGATTATCACATTTTGTTGAGATGTCACAATGCTATATTCTTAAGTTGAAAGTGTATTCATTCTATGTATTCGGAACATGTAGCAAAAGCTTAATAGAAGATAGTGATCTTAATTTTCATAAGATTGTTTATTTTTTCATACTATTTTGAATTAGTTTCTTCATGTTACATTAGCTGTATAGTTCTGGACAAAATATGATGTGCTCAGCTATTGATACACGTTCAAATGTATTGATTATCAAATTCCTCTGAAATGGCTCAAGACATAATTTTAAATAAACACAAAAACACGTAAAACAAAATAATTCTTCATTCAAATGTATCAGCACATAACCTGGTCAAGTTGAAAACATGAAAGTGTATTTCATTATATATTATTGTTGCAATGTTTAGTGCATGTTATTACAGCTTTTCAAAAAAGACTTAACTAAATACATCCTACTCTAAGAATCGTATAACTTACAAGTAATTTAAACATCGAAGAAGTTTTGAAAAAAAACTAATTTTGACGATTGACTTTTTTCTTTTTAAATTTATAGAATACAATCTGTAAAATTCTAACAAGGAATAGGCAACATCTTCATTTTTACTAATGACATTACATATTCTCTAACAACAAAGTATTTTGAAAGTCTGATCATATTCAATAATTGCTGACGTGGAGTGATCAACGATTGTTATAAAATTTGCTCATAATAGATAACCATAGATATGGCGAGAAATCTTATTTATCTCTTAATCTAAATATTAAACGAGTCAGTATATTAAACTATCTTTCAATAACTTTGACAAATACCTAAGCAGAAAAAAGGTTCACTCTTTGTTTTTCTACTACAAGCAAAATTTGGTCATTGAAAAAGAAATATTGTCTAGAATTTCCAATGTTAGATGAATATGAATATGCCGTGTTTTCTATATTATTTACTTGAAAAGCAACAATCCAGAAATAATTAAAGATATGTTTTTCCTATGCCAGAACTTTAACTATCTTCAAGCTAAAAGCGATCATTTTCTTTCTTTCTGACGTTTTGCAGTGCAAATTCTGAGATAACCCTAGGATCTCAGAATTGGCAATTCTAGCTATATACAGCCTATGGGCAGTTATGAATCTAATCTATGCTAGAATTATGAAAATTCAAGGAAATTCTGGAAAATCAAGCAATTCCAGAAAATCAAGGCAATTCAAGGGATAGACAGACAATGAGGGATAAAGTGTCTAATCAACCATGGAATTATGGAAATTCAAGCCAATGCTGGAAAATCAAGCAATTCAAGGAATTCAATGGATACACAGTCAATGAGGGATAAGGGGTCTCATCCACCATGGAATTATGGAAATTCAAGGCAATTCTGGAAAATCAAGCAATTCAAGAAAATGTAGGAAGTTTAAGAAATTCAAGAGATATAGAGCGGGTGTGGGTGCAAGGGGTGAAGGTGGGAAGCGAATGTAGCAAGAAAGACAGAGACACCCATACCCAGAGTCACCCGCACCCACACCCTCTATTTATCCCTTGAATTGCCTTGATTTTCTTGAATTGCTTGATTTTCCAAAATTTCCTTGAATTTCCATAATTCCATGGTGAATAAGACCCCTTATCCCTCATTGTTTGAGTATCCCTTGAATTCCTTGAGTTGCCATCGTTTTGTTGAATTGCTTGATTTTCCAGAACTGCCTTGAATTTCCATAATGCCATGGTGGATGAGACCCCTTATCCCTCATTGTTTGTGTATCACTTGAATTCCTTGAATTGCCATCATTTTCTTGAATTGCTTGATTTTCCAAAATTTTCTTGAATTTCCATAATTCCATGGTTGATTAGACCCCTTATCTACCCTTCACTGTCTATCCCTTGAAGCTCCTTCAGTTTCTTGAATTACTTGATTGTCCAAAATTTCCTTGAATTTCCTGATTTCCTCGAATTCCATGGTGGTCCCAAGATGTGTGATTTAAAGTTACATGTTGACTTGAATTTCTCAAATTTCCTTGAATTTCCAATTCTTGGCTCCTAGGTACTACTCCAAATTCTAATACGAAGTCACAGTGAAATCATTGAATATCTCTAATTTGACATTATAATGTACGGTACGACAATGTGCTTGCCAGAAAACAAATTTAAAAAATTGGTAGTAAATTAAAATTAGTATATGCTGTCAAATCTGTTGCAAGATATTATTCAGTAACGCAAAGAATTAACATGCACTTTGAAAATAACTTATTTGATGATTTTGAACTGACTGAAATTAGTTTTAGAAAAATTTTGAAAATTAATTCAATTTGATGAAAGTCTGTTTGTCTTAATAATACCTATTGTTATACTGAGTTAGTGCGTGGTTTTTAGTATAAGAGATTCTCAAACTATCATTGGTTTTATGAATTTCATAAGAATTTCATTTGGAACTAATTATAAATACAAACTATTCATTTCCCAAGTATTATCGAAAAAATCCGTTGAATTAATTATATATGCATGTGAAGTTGTTGTATACAATATTTTATCAAAAATCACTCCATTTTTTTTATATTGAATTAACTACAGATTGGTATTCGTCATTTCCGAAATTGTCAGTACTTAAAAGTCCTAACTAAAATAATATGATTGATAGACATAATTTTAAAAAGTAGAATAAATCTAACTGTGTGATGAGCAATTATTCAAGCTGCGAAATAACCATGCTTATTTACATGCAAAAATTTTGTTTTCATAGACCTTAACAAGATTTTCAATTAATTAAGGTTGAAAAAGAGACTTTCTTGATCACAACACTGAATCAATGATTATGATCTATTCTATTTACCAAGTTGCTCGACAAAATATGGTTCACTTGTTCATGTGTCATATGCATTTTTTTTCTTTCTGTTCTTCTATCATATATACAGTGGAGTGCAAAAATAATTGCCGTTAGTATTTCATAAATTCACTCTACTAAACACAACAAATATTGAAAGTTCTTTTATATATATATAATAGATACAACAGGGTATATAAATATAATAATCAATAGTTAGCTCTCTTTCCCTTCAGTCAAAAAAAGCAGTAAAACATATAGCTTCATTGATGCACTCAAATAACTTAGCGTCATTTTGCCTATGTACATTGAGTATGTTCTAGCCTAAACGGTGTGTTCGAGAAAAAGTTAAAGAAGGTATGAACCTCGTTTTGAACCAAGATCTTGTAGCCGAAGTTTCAGCTCGATACGACGTCTTCTTGTTTTTTAAGGTGGGAAAGAAACCCAACACCACCTTCGCAACTTGTGACCTCTCTTTGACGCTGAAGATGAATTTTGAGAATTCTGCACTTGGAACAAAATTTCATCTAATAGCTGAGGACTGTCTATTCTGAAAATTTCAAGTCGTTCGAACAAGTCACTGTCGAGTTAGTACAAAAATCGGGTTGGGGCGCCGTTTTTGCTGATCGTTCTACACACCGTGATGTTCTATTTGCTTTTAAGATCCCATGTGGTTGGAGCTCATTTGCATGTCGTTAGATACTATGAACAGAAGCCTTCTTTAAGAATACGATTTTCGCAGCTCAGCAATTGTCGTAGTCCCGGCAGTGTAAGATGACCTCTTGATATACTAGAAAAGCAGTGGAAACTCGAATCACGATGTCTCTCGCTCTACTAAACGATACTTTTTGAGGAGTCTCACCCTCACTGCAATCTATAGTACATCCTTGATTGCTGATAAAAGTTTGAGAAGAATTCGTTCATGCGCTTGACAGATATGGCTCGAGAAAATGTGTAAGTGCAGCGGCAATTATTTTTGCACTCTACTGTATATATATATATCTGTTGCTCAGCATGAAACCAGTCTTCCTGAAGTGTCAGGCTCGAACTGTATTATCTCACTCTCAAGTTGTATCGATTGGTAGTCGTGAAAAAATAGAAAAAAGAGTTGTAACGCGGCGAGAAGTTCGAAATAGCCTCAATTTTGACATATTTCTGCTGAGTTTGGCTATAATGGTATAATTTTCAGCATCAAAGTAGGCTCATTGGGATACACTGTTTGAAATGGATGAGTAACTGCTTATACTCTATCGATTGACCGTCTGACACATAAATAAAAAAAAGGTACAGTTGTGACCGATGTCTGAAATTTTAAAGATTCTGATGAGGTTTCACTTCATGTATGTTCATCAATGTTTTTGTGTTTATGAACGTAAGACGCATGCTAGGACTTCGAATTCGTACAATACTAGGTTCCTTATGATGTTCTGTCAGCTGAAATCCTTATCGAGAAAGAAAGAATATACGAATTTATGAAGAATATCAGGAAATGACATTATTCGATCATACCTGAAGAAAGCTAACACAATTTCTTTCTTCTTTGCTTGGCAAGCACATTAAGTGATGCATCAGTCGTGATCGGTTTCATTATCGTGTTTTCTTGTCTTTAGCATAATTCATATGTGATTAACTTTTTGGAAATTCACTCTGAGTTAACTGATCACTAGAATATCATTAATGTTTTACATATAATTCCGAATGTTGTGCCCGAAAATAGAACTACATTTACTATCAATGCATCACATATAAACGTAATTGTATTACAACCATGACACGTAGAAGAAAATGAAAGAAATCCATTGCACGTAATCAAATATCTTACATGTGTGCCTCAAAATGTCCCTGTAACTTTACTAAAACGAAATACATTTACTTCAAATAAAGTCTGCAGGGTAGGGTGATCTGTCCTGACTTGCCTTGGAGGGTAGGAACAGGTTTAAAGATTTTTCACAGAACATTTTTTCTAATGAAGAAAAAGTTTTGGGTTTGAAAATGTTCGACAGCAAGTTGGTGATGATGATTGTGGATTGTTTACATTAACTTTTGCTACTTCTCTATGTCATAGAGATGCGTTATCTTTACTATTTTAAAATCAGATATCTTGATATGATTATTGTGGTAAATGTATTGAAAATAATAAAATCTAACCATTTCCTTCAAAAGCCTAAGAGAAGAGGCACTAGAAATTCTTCTATATTAGCTCATCTTTATTTGATTTATATTTTATTGAATATAATAAAGAATTAATAAAGTAAGATCATTAAAAAGCTAAGATATTGAGTTTATATTAATAATCAAATACATATAATACTATAATATAACTCAATAATTGTGCGTATATAGCTGTTTGGCTATGTGCACATGAGTATATATAGTCGACTGACTATGTACACATATGTGTACATAGCCACTTCCAAACTTTTAATTTATTAAGCATCAAGTGATGAAAAAATAAACAACAAAAAGTAACTATACGTTCACACTTGATTCTTGAGAGTAATTAATAAATAGCTAAAATCTTGATCCTTTATTCGTTGATGTATACAGAGAATGCCAGATATTTGTGGGAAAAAAGTCAGGCCTGGATTTGGGTTCACAAAAATGTACAATCAGAGCTCCCCACTCCTTACTATTATATACGAACACTCTGACCTATGCATTCACTAAGGTTGAAATTCGACGAAAATTAGTGTTGAATATTGAATATACTATTTGATGTAGATTTTTGCGTTAATTCGAAATATGATATTCGTTTATTTCGGAAATCAAATGATGATGATCAAAATCTTAGGATACCATCATTTTTTTTATTCCTAGCTATATGACGAATAAAATCAAAAGAAATATTTGAATAAATATTAAGATGATCGAGATTTGATCATTTTGACATTGGGTTTTAATCCAAGTTTGGTTACAAAAATATTGTGTAAATATGTCGCAAATAATATTTTTTTTATAGGTAACACGACACGAGCTCCATTCAACCATGACAAAAAAAAATGTTTTGCTTAAATTTTGTACAGACTACACTTTATGTGAATTTATTTTGAGTAAATAAGAAACAAATATAAATCAAAAAGAAAAGTTTATTGTTATTTATTTTGAATTGAAATTATAATATTACAGATTCAGTTTTTTGTTGAAGTTGTTCAAGATAATCAAGATTTTCTTTTGTTTCTAAATGATCATTTCCAAAAGCAAGACGAGCAGATTCAACTGCTTTTGTAGCATATTGAATAGCATTTTTCTTATCTTTAAGACCTTCATATGTTGTTGCTATATTAAAATAAGTTGATGCTAATGTTGATTGATTTAATTGAATTGATTTTTCTTCAATATCAAGTGTTTTTTGATTATAAATTAAAGCATTTGAATAATCTTTCATCGAATAAAACATACTAGCCATATTATAATATGTATCTGCTAATATAGGATGAGAAAATTGAAAATTTTTATATAAAGTGTCAACTGCTAATTCATAAGATTTTTGTGCTTCAGAATATTTTTTTTGTTGTTGAAGAATTTTACCAATATTATTATGTTGTATAGCTATATTTTGATCACCAGTTTGATCAATTTTAAGTGCATTTCGATATTGTTGTAATGCTCCATTTAAATCTCCTTGTTTATGAAGAACAGAGGCAAGATTAGTATATGTTGATAAAAGTGTTGAATGATTTGATGGTAAATAAGTTAAATAAATATCTATAGCTTGTTTATAATGATTTATAGACATAATTAAATTATCTTTTAATTCACATACATAACCAAGTTCATGTTGAATAAAAGCACGTTCTTCACGTTGATTATCTTCTATTTGATTATATAAATATTTAAGAATATTTTCTACTTGATTATATTGTTTCATATCTAACATTATTTTACATAATTTATACCATCCAGATAGACCTTCTAATGTTTCTTGCATAAATTCAACAACATTTTTAATTTCTTCATCTTTCTTTGTAGCTGGAATTAAATTTATTTCATAGAAACGTTCATGAATTTGTTCAATTTGATCAATACGAAATATTGTATTCATTGATAATAAAATATTACCATCAGTATTAGATAAATAACTTAAATGATTTAAAGCAATATATGGAATTGATGATAGTAATGGATCAATTGTAATTCTATATATTATACCAATTACATTTGAATCATTACGAAGTATATTAACAAATCTTAATGCTATATTTCGTTCAAGTGTAGCTATTAGAAAATCCTTAAATGATAATAGACTACCTAGACTTTTTTCTACATTTTCGAATTCACTATTTGTCATAGATGTTGCTCGATAAACAATTATTGGACGATGTTGATAACTATGTGATTGTAAATGACATTTTTTGATTTCTCTATGAAGATCTCGTACGAAAAATGCTAATTTATAAATAAGTTCAAAATCTTGACAATAAAAAGCTTTTCTTAACATTGAATATATAAAACATCTTCTTGTATACCACCATATAGGTGAATGAAGATGATAACTTGCATCAAATGTATCAATAATATTTAATTGTTGTTCATTAAGTAAATAAAATTGTCGAGAATAACTAATAAGTTCTTTTCGAAATTTTTTATCATATTGTATATCAACAAGAACACTTTTCATCATTTGTAAATAAATAAATTCTTTATTTGAATCATCTAAATCATTTATTGATAATGTTTGAAGAATACTTACTGGTGTTAAACTATTATCATATTGACGAATATCTTTTTTAACTGTTTCACAAAGTTCTTTTATTTTTGTATGTATACTATTAATTTTTGTATATCGTTTTGTCCATTCTTCATGAGTAGATTTATTACCACAAAAAATATAAATTGAATGAACTTGATTTAAATTTTCTATAAGTGATGATATTTGTTGACCAAGTGCACCGGATACAATTAAAAAAATTTTTTCATATTTAATTGAATTTATAAAATTAAAACAATCATCAATATTAAAAAATGTTTGAACTATATCGCTAACACGATAAAATTGTTTTGTTAAATTTTTATTTGATTCTGTTTGTTTATCTAATGAAGAATCAAGCCATATTAATATGGCATTTTCAACAAAATATGGAAGTTTTTCATTTGGTAATGAAACTGTTTTCTCTATTCGAGATACTTTATTAGTTGAATTTCTTGGAATATTTTTTTTACGACCATTTTTTGATGTTGTTACCGATTTTATATGATCAAATGATGGTACACTACCACTTACTTTAGAGTTTGGCTTACCCATGTCTTGGTTTTTTTTACTGACGGATTGATAGTTAGTAAATGTGTTTATCAATCGTCATGCTTCAATAAATAGTGCATTATGCTTTTTCCTTTTTATTAAATAACATACGTCCTCTATACAGGTAGTCTAAAAAGTATTCGAACACTTAATTAAATTTTTTTTCTATTGGTTGATTTGTATAGTAATATTAAAGAATTTAAAAGGGAGAATATATTTGTTTTCGGTTTAATGAGAAATTTTAATATTTTGTTTTCGTATTACACAAAAAGGAACTATACAAAGAAAGAACTAATAAGTATCCGAATACTTTTTGGATTTATCTGTATATGAGTTAAGAGTACAACTATTGTATCGTTGTGTATCGCAAAGAAAAATTATTTTTGTAGCTAGAGTTGTAGAATTTTGTTAAGAACTTTCAGAATATGTCTTTATTTTTAAGGTTAGACGAAATTTTCTGAATGAAAAACTATTGATCATAGATTGTTAAGACATTTTTTACTGTTGTGTAGGGTAATATTCAAAATCATTGATATTTTGTTTGAACGAATTTGATTCAATATCAAAGACAAATAAGGAGAAAAATAATTTGAAAACTAAAAGAAATGTGTCTCATAAAATTCGGTAATACAAAAAACTTCGTATTACATGTAGAGTGACTTTTTAAATTTTGCTATTGCTATAACTCAATGGAAACTGAATCTTTTGCCATAACATATAGAAATCGATTCTGTATCAAGAACTGTTTAACAATATTATCATTTTCGTACCTCTGTTACATCAGGAAAAGGTATCTAGCGCTTAACTTGACAAGAATGTTAATGAAATAATGCACTTTCAAAGCCGTCTTTATTGGAACATTGTTCTGTATATATTTGATTTTGATATATAGTAAACGCTCTTGTACCTCGATTAGTTTGTATCCATTCGATATTTCGGCTTGTCCACGTAACTCCGTCACAGCGTTACGTTTTTGCTCATTTTGTTTTGACTATAACTCTGAAAGGACAAATCGTAGAGAGGCTAGCGATGTCTTAGATTGAAGACAAATTTGTTTTGAAGATTTTGAGATCTGTCCGAGCTCCTAAAAGTGTTTTCTCGAAAACCTACCACTGAAATGCCAACACCTACTTTTGAAAATCCGTCGAAAAAGGTGGTGTTAGTATTTTGGTGATAGATATTCGGAAACACTTTTTCATGAGCTCGGACAGATCTCAAAATCTTCAAAACAAATTTGTCTTCAATTTAAGACGTCGCTCGCCTCCCTACGACTTGTCCTTTCAGAGTTATGGCCAAAACAAAATGAGCAAAAACGTAACGCTGTGACACTCTGCCACTAGCGTTACGTGGACAAGCCGATTTGATTCCATGTTACAAAAAAAAAATGTATACTATTTAGTTGCGTTCATAAATAGCAACAAAAAAAACGAGATCATTTCAAATTCAACAAAAAAGCAAATGATTCAGGATGCATTTGGTGTCTTTCTACTTCTAAAATTCGATCGATTTTGCTGATGATGCCGGAATGAAAGGCAGTGTTGATACCAAACACCATAATTGTGGATACATAAATGAATGCTTTTTTTTATCACGATAAAAGATGAATTTTCATTAAAAACTAATTACTTTATTAAAAGAGTATCACTTTATACTTCTGTGACCTGTTCTCAAGTACAATAAATTACTCAGTCATAATTGAATCGGTTTTCACTCCTATGCTTTTATGTAAATCGGCAGTTTGAAAAAGTAAACGTATTTTAAAACGTCGTGATCTCATTAAATGTCGAGTCGGATTCGAGTATCAGATCATAGTCGGGTCTCGAACTAACCTCGTGGGTTTACATTCGGACCTATGCTCTGAACCGAATTGGGTATCCGACCCGGTTGTACGACACTAACATATAGTAATAATAATATCTAGTGAACTCTGTAAATTGAAGTTAGTTAAAAGTAAAATTGAATGTATAGATTTTTAAAAAAATGAACGTCTCAAAAACTTTGAATTGTTTTGTTTTATTTAAAAAAATAAGTAATTGAAATTGAATTTTGGTTTTATGTTCGCAAATGATAAGATGTTGATCTTTTTTTTGTTCAAAAATGTCCACCATTGAATGTTCTACTCGAATCACAAAACCGAATCTTTATAGCCATTTTTTGAAATTTTAATAGACTACTAACACTGAACATATGTAATTTTCTACAAGAAAAAATAAAATAAAGTCGAAAATTGTTGAGTTTTGTTCATTCATTTTGGTTATAGTATTTGTATTAGTGGAATGATGAATGTTATGGTTTTTTACAGATTCTTAGAACAATCCATTTTATCTAACATTGATTTGATCTAAAAAATTACCTTAGTTGTCAAACACAAAATGGATTTTCTCTTATAAGATATAACACAATCGACATACGTGTTTAGTATTAATGAAAATAACTATGATCCGAATAGAACATTCAATGGCGCATCTTTTGAAAAAAAAATGATCAATATTTTATCATGTTCCTGAATAGAGTTACATACAAAACTTTTGCCACATCCAATATCAGTGTTTGATATGAATGAAATTTTTATGACTCGATTTAAGTCGAACTCTGATATCGATTGCTTTTCTCAATCCTTTTATTCTTACTTTCATTTCCTAGTTGGAAACAAAAGAATATGTCCTTGGTATATCGCCAATATTCTGCAGTTAGAACAACATGATTATGTGATAGAATTTTTTCTTGTTTATCTTTCTTTTCTTATGCAGACAATTCTGTGACGTTTATATCACCATTGACCAAACAATGCACTCGTTTATACATTATTATTCGATATCAATAAAGAACAATCGATGAAGTAGAAGAGAAAAAGATTGTGCAATACATAACTCCATACTCTTTTATAGAACTTTTAAATTTTTTGAAAAAATAAAAAACATTCAAACTACCTTTTGTATCTGCAAAATGTTCAAACTGCATGAGTCGAACATTGTCCATGATATACATGAGAGAAGAAAAATAAATAACAGAAAACTCTATCACATAATCATCTCATTTGAATTACGCAATATTGTACGCTGATTTAACGTCGATCAAATGTTTCACCACATATAGCAATTAACAACTTTTTTCTAATGTCACTCAAGAGAGAATGAAATATAAACAAAACAGACAATTGATTCAAATGAGATGAATATCGATGTTCGTTTTTTTCTTTTTTGCAACTTTGAGAGAAAATTTTTTTGATTTTTTCTTATTTGTTTAGAGAATAAAAAAGATGACTTTGATCATCAATACACATTAATACATCTCAAATGAATTTTGATATATAAACAATCAGGAAAAAAAAGCAATAAAAATCATTTGAAATAAACATTTAATTAAAATATATATATGTATAATATATTAAACTGAAACAAATTTATTTTCTTAATTTATTATTAACGAACAGAAATAATTAACTGTACAGTAGAATAATGCTTGCTAACTTTCTTGATGAAGAAAAGAAACAAATAAAAAAAAATGAAGTCAATTTCTCTGTACAGTTTTCTTTTCTTTCACCATCCAGTTGTTGCACGTTGATGATGATCACGATCAATTGATCCATTATGATCATCAATTATATATTTAGCTGTATGATTAGCATAAATATCATTTAAATTTGTTGGACCTGTTTGTTGTTGTGTTGCTGTTGTTGTTGGTAATTGTGCATATGAAAATGTTTGTCCATGTGCTGCTGCATATATATATGATGGTTGTTCAATTGTTGGTGTTGTAGCATAAGTTAATTCATAATATGATGGTGTACCTGTTGATTGATTTTGTGAACCATGAATATTTCCATTTAATGTTGTAGTTATTGTTTGATTTGGTATTAATGTACTAAGAGCTTGTGGATTTGTAGCCGTAGCTAATAATGTTGTTGTTGGTGATTGTTGATAATAGATAGGTTGAATACTTGAAAAAAAAAAGAAAGTGACAGAAGAATTATCCAGATGTGCATATATATTCAAGAAAAAAAAAGATTTGTTTATCTGAACGTGTCATCATTGTATATATATATATATAGAATGAAAGCTTTTCATCAAGTTTATTTGATTGCTCAAGGGAATTTACTGTTCTGTTTCTTTAAATTTAAGATTAATTTGATTGTTTTTTTTATAGAACGGCAAATTTATACAACGCAAAACAAAGAAAAATAAATCAAAATGTACTTACCCATAAGTAGTTGGTAATGCTGCTGAATATGCTCCAGCAAGATGAAGTGGAATTAAACCTAAAAATAATAATAATAATAATAATTCATTTTAATAGAAAAATAAATAAAAATAAATAATCAATGAAATTGTTTTGTTGCAATAATAACAACAATCGTAAAAATGAAACGCTAAAGGCATACACATCACACATACACGATCTTGTAGTTTGTCGTCATCTTATATATTTCAATATTTATAAAGAATCGAATTTCGATTGAAGAAAACAAAAAAAAAAAGAAAAGAAAAGTTTTCTTTTTCTTTTTTGTATCGTCATCATTGTATTTGTTCTTGTATATGTCGTCCAACTATATCAAATGACTAAGAGATGAAAAAATGAAAAGCACTGAGAACACACGAAAGCGAGCATATAGAGAAGAAAATGAGTAAGAGCACCAACACAACAACATCAATGTCAAACACTTGAAACACAGAAAAAAAAAAAAAAAGATATATAAGATTATCCCATGCCACAATGGTCTGGGTATGGTTATTATCGTTTAGTTAACTTTATTTAATTTGATATATATATATATTAGGTTAAGTTAAAAAAAAAAATAAAATAAAATAAAGAAAACATCAAGTAACTGGCACAAACTACAGCGTCATCCAGAGCATCCACTTACTGTCGTTTTTTTATTTATTTTTTTCTCACGCTGCTTGTACTACAATTAATGAGGAGAGAGAGAGGATAGTTTTTGGTAAATTATATGTATGTATACATATGTGTATGTGTGAGAGATTTATTTTTTTTTTTTTATAGATATAGATATTTTTGAAGAATAAATTATGAAAATTCTATTGAATTCTTACCAGCTGGTGTAGGAATAACACGTGGTTTAGCACCAAGATAAGCTAAATTAACATTTGCTTTACGACCATCAATAACAGGATTTGCTTCTCTTGTTGCTAAACTTGCGGCTTCTTGAGTATTCATTGTCACCTTAGAATAATAGAGAAGAAAAAAAAAATTGTAATTAGTCGATTGAAAATTTTCTTTTCCTAATGAATAAACAACAATTGAAAAATGTTCAAAAGAAATTCTCAATTGACCTCTTAGCCTTTCATATTTTATGTTAATTAAATATCTAACATATTTTCATTATATTATTTGTACAAATTTGAAAAAAAACACGAGAACATTCATATAAGTAGTATTATTCATATTTAGACTTCTGTTCTGATTGATGGCATGCAAACGATAAGAAAAGCAAAAAAAAAGAAAAAAAAAGAGAAACGATTATCTTTCACAAGACGGAAAAATCCCATCTGTGTGTATATGTATATGCGCCCAAGCGGACAATCATAACCATCATTCCTCAAATATGAATACACATACACGTGCCTATAATCAATCTTTTCTACTTACAAATCCATAACCACGTGATTTGCCTGTTTGTCGATCAGTAATAACCTAATTTAAAAAGGAAATAAATTATTATTATTATCATTCAATACGAAATAATAACATACTACTGCTTCTTCAATTTCACCAAAACGTTCAAAAAATTTCCTTAATGTTTCATCAGTTGTATGATATGGTAAACCACCAACGAAAATTTCTAATTAATAAATTGAATAATTTTTATTAATGAAAAATAAAATCTTACTTGTAAATGTTGTATCTTTATGTAATAATGACATGAATGTAAAAATACTTGAATAAAATAGAAAAAAAGATGTCTTTGTTTTTTTTTCTTCTTCGAAATATGTCAACAAAACTATGCCACTCTCTTTTAAAAAGCCATATACAGAATGAAGATGAAGAACAGAATAAAGTAAAAACGGATATCGACTAATTCATCACTAGAGAGTATATATGTGATATGAGATGAGAAAAAAAATGTGCTTCATTAGCGGAAGGAACCAATCATTAGCAAACGATCGTTCTGGAAAAAAAGAAGAAGAACAAGAATAAGAAGACATTGTACAGTTATCTCTCGTCTTTCTTTCTTTCTTTTTTTTTCTTCTTCCGACTCGCGTTCGTTCATGGATTAAATAGAAACATAACTAACGTATAAACAATATATTTCTGTTCCTTGGCGAATCAGAATGTCTTTTCTTTTTTTTTTTTTTGCCATATATCTCTACATATCTTTGTAGTAGCAGCAGGAGGGATAAAATTGATGATATAGGAAGGGGGAAGGAAAACGACCTTTTGCTATTCGACGCCCTCCAACTGTTTGTTCTTTTATTTGTACACATGCGATGTACATGAATCAATATACATGCCGAAAGTCAGAGAAATATTACACCTACGAATATAATTGGAAAACAAAATAAACATAATGATTTATAAAATGAAGATTTAGTCATAAATTTCATATAAAATATTTATTAAATTCATTCGAATTATTTTCTATTGAAAAGTTTTTTTTATTATTGAACATGATAATTTTCATGTATAGAATATGTTACTAAATTGTATATATACAGACAGAGACAGCCTTAGGCTTTTTTTGTTTTTATATTTAATTTTTTATCGTTTGAGATATAAAGATATGATAAAAGATATGAATTAATAAATGAAAAATATTTGTATAAGTTTACTTTAAATTGAACGATGTTGTCTTTATAATGAGATAAGACGAGTAACAAAACAATCGTATTTGTTCGTTACATAATTAACAACATAATGTTATTTTCTTTGTTCAAGAATTGATATTTATCATATGTCATATCGAACTATGATATATACTAAGGTCATTTTTCTACCAGATCGATCTATCAAAAGAAGTGACGCCTTTTTGGTTGTGAGATAACATAATTAGATATTGAACTTTTTCAGTGTTAACAAAAAAAAAACACCATTATTTTTAGAATACGGTGACTTTCATGTAAAGTACTCCAAAAACAGCTGATATTTCTAGATTTTATTTATCAAAAGTTGTTTTCGTTTTTGTTGAAAATAAATATTTCATTGGAAAAGACTTTCAATCAATTTTTACTCGTAGGAAGTATAACCTAAAATTTTTATGAATAAAAAGTTGAAGGGAAAATAGAACGAAAAATTTACTCAGAAATATTTTGCGATGTAATATAGAGTTTCCAATGTATTTTTGCATGTTGATTTCAAAATTTATGCTTAAAATAATTTTTGACAATAAAAATTAGCCATTTTTTTGGGAAATCATCCTGTTGTAAAAATAAAAACTTAATAACACTGAAAAGTAAATCCCGTCGAGTTTGGAACCAACGCGATAGGCCCTACTGGAAAGTACAAAGTTTGAATCAGAAGTTTTGGTATCATAACACAACCTGCGATGCAAAAAGTAATGAAACAAAAAAGAAATTGACTGGAAGTACAGGGTCTTTCATAAGTTTTGGGACGCGAGAAAATTGATTTATATGAACACATAGAACAATGTCTAACCATTATGTTTCTATATCAGCTTGAAGTACTCGTGATGGCCTTTCAAATGATATTATTGAAAAGCATCTTCCCTTGTAATAATAAAAATATAAACGTGATAATGTAATGAAGTCCTACTTCCTATCGTATTGAGTATAATAAAAAATATTTCGAAGATTTTTTCGTTGTGCAATTGAGGTCTGTTTGCAGAGATTTGGTAGAGCTTTCCATGACGAATTTTTTTTAAAATTCAAGATTTTGTCTTTTTCCCAAGCTGAGATAGATGCAAAATAAAAAAGTCTTCGAAATATTTTTTATTGTACTCAATACGATAGAAAGTAGGACTATTATACAAGTTGTTCATTTTGAGTATGAAGTAGACCATCAAAACAAGTCAGTAAGTATTTGTTCAAACATTTTTGTAGAACTTTTTACGGCACATCTTTTTTTTTTTAAATTCAAGATTTTATCATTTACCTACACTGAGATATGTGCGAAATACATCTTGCATCATGTTGATCGATTTCGAAAAATTCATCATGACATTATCATGTTTATATTTTTATTATTATAAGGGAAGATGCTATTCAATAATATATCATTTGAAAGGCCGTCACGAGTACTTCAAGCTGATATAGAAACATAATGGTTAGACATTGTTCTATGTGTTCATATAAACCAATTTTGTCGTGTCCCAAAACTTATGAAACACTCTGTATATGTGTCATTTTCTTTAATCATGTTATGCGAATTGTTAAACACTCTATAGACTTTCTTTCTTCAGGCGTTCGAACCATAGTTATAGGTATTGTTATTGCTTTTTCATTATTTTGACAGTCTGTATCAGGTTATACTGGTGATAAAAATTTCACTTTTTAACCATTGTGAAACTTCCAGAGTATATAGAGGATCCTTAAGATTATCATCACAACAAATTTCGGTTCTTTATGAGTTGTGAGTTTTTCTTTTTATGCTAGTTTTCGCTGGGAAAATTAGAAAACTAGTCATAACTTCCGAAAAAAAAGCCGTTGACCGGAACCCTTTTAGGTTTTTTACCTATTCAAGATTCTCTATCGAATGATATATAAACGAACGAAATCAGAGCGAGACATCTGGGAATGTTTCCTCGTGAGTATTTTTTAAAGAAACGTAATACTCATTGATAAAGTAATTGTTAAAAATGATTTTTGTCTTTTATTTTGTAGAGAATCTTTAGTAAAGAATTGGTCATTATTCATATAATTATAGATGAGATACAAATCATAATACAACAAGAGAGGACAAGTTTCGTTGAAAATGAACTTTTTCTTGAACTATTGATTTTGCTAAGACTAAAAAAAGCCCAAATTTTGCAGTAGTGATCTCATATTCTCAGGATATTCACAACAATAAAAAATAATTAGCAGGAGAGCTTATGCAGAGTACTCGATTAGGGAAAACAGCTCTTCCCCTCTAAATGTCTGACTATCTAGTAAAGTTCTTAATACTTTCTGCCAAAGTTTCATGAGAACTTGGACAAGACACTGGATTCGTAAACATCATTTGCCTTTCTCTAGCAGAAAGTGAAGTAAACATAAGTAGACAAGAGCAGAGGGACAACTTTATGACAGGGACCGGGTCATGATAGGTTTTGTTCTTCACCTGATCACCACTTCGAGAATGAAAATATTTTCTGTCAAATTTTAAACTACTTTCATTCTTAAAAAATATCAACAATCTTGAGTATAGACTGTAATTTTATTAATAAAATAAATCTAAAGATGAATTTCTAAAAAAGAAAAAATAAACTTTTATTCTTTATTTTTTGTCAATAATTGTTTGAAGTTGATGTTCATCAAATGAATAGTATTAAAATCATAATTGGTTTTGTTTTTTCTTATCGATGAGATGCAGTACCATAAGGAATCCATATTGGATGAGCAACTGTACACTTTTGTCTTGATTCCATTTGTCGAAATGGATTTGTTACAGGATGAATTCGACTTGTTAATCCTGCATAGAAATTAGGTAATTCTTTATTTGTTTGATACTAAATTGCAAAGCAAAAATAAAAATTACTATTTGATACAAAAGGAAATAAAGACTGACAGGATAACGGCCTGGTCGAGGTGGAACATATAAATCATTTTCTTCATCAGGTAATGGATAATTAATTTTAAAACGATCAGGATGTTCGTCAAGAAATTGAGACCATTTCATACTTGTTCGTCTAATGACAAAAAAGAAAAGAAATCAGCTTTCTTAAAACAAAATTTAATTTACGTTAAATGATTTGGAACAATTAATGGATGAATTCGATTCAATGAATCCTAAAATAAATAAGTAGATTTTCAATAACACTTTAATAGAGATGAACAACATACGGTTGAATTAGGATTATCCTGTTGATATAAATATTGCTTATATGTATCATATTGTTTCGGTAAAGTTTGGATCGATTCTAGATCAATATTTATATATGGTGAACCATAAACATTACGATGTTTTGCAGCATGATTATCCGATGCTTTTAGCCAATTTGTTGCAAATATTGAATTATAAATTGGTATCGTATCTTCTGAATTTGATTTTGAACTAACCGGACGACTGAAAATTCATTCAATAATTTATCAATATCATTTCGTTTATCTTTTTATATATGAAAATTAATATACAAAATTCTAATTTATTTCAAAGAACAAAAATTGAAATCAGAACAGAGTTCTAGGAGAGACTCAAATCTTCCTTTAGAGATATCCAGTCTCAGTTTACTGACCACCAACTTCACTACCTCTATGTAGTTAGTGTACACTGACTACATGGGTACAAATAGTATATATTTTGATAGAGTCGGTATCTCAATGTTGCAGTGAATGCGGATGTCAGTGTAACCAATGTTCCAATGGACACTGTGGTACTGTCTTCTATGAGATACTGAGATTACAATGGCTCCTTCATTTCTCCGAAATACTATGTTCGATAGAGCTGAATTTCTTTTTTTACAGGTACTAGATAATGTATAATATATGTGAAAAAAATTTCAACTCGATCGAACATACTAGGCTGGATTTAGGTCTCCGTTCATAAATTATAATTTGTAAATTAAGAGGATCCTCCCCTCAGACAAAGTCAACTTTTGTCAAATTTATCAATTTTGTAAATTATAGGTCGTTAGATAGAGCCAAGTGTCTACTCTCGAATCTACTATAGTTGATTGATTTTATGCTGATATTACAAAGGTTTTTCTGAACCTTCATATTGAAAAAAAATAAAGTTTTTCTTAAAATCCGTTTCTTCGAGTATACTGTTTGTGCGAGCAAGCCTTACTCAATAACGATTCAATATAGAAGTGATATTTTTTTTTTATTGCTTAGAGGACAGTTAGGGCTAGATCTTAATAGAACCCGATTTTTGAATTTCTCTATTGATAAAATACAAAACTTATATATTTCATTTTTAAAAGCGATTTTGTTTTTGGCTACGAATTCGAGAATTTTTTGAAAAAGATTTTTTACAAAACAAACAAAGAGACTTTCAAAAATCGGGCTCTGCGAAGATCTAGCCCTAAGAGTACTCTACAACTTGACAACCGCCTCAGCATGCTAGCTCGTATCCTGATTGTGAAAACCTTGTCCACGTACAGGATACTTCTGATCAATAAAAGTTATCTAAAGATGTATTTTCACATGTTCTTTTTTTACTTTGCATTGTACTTACATAATCTATTTTGAAAAGAAAATTCAATTGAAATAAAAAACAAACACTTATTAAGTAGAAATTTTATACAATACTAACCGTGCAATATATGTTGGAAGATATGGTAATGGAAGAATACGATCTAGTTCATTATTGTTTGAATTAGTTATTCCAAATTGTGTCATGTTACAAAATAAACTTATTTTCTTGTCATATGAGAAAAAATATACAATACTTTTTCTTTTCTTTTTTTTTTCTTTTACTTCTTCTACAAGGCCGATGTAAATGCTATTTTCTTTAGATGCCCTTAAACTATTTCACTTTTAACCGTTTTTAACAAAAAAAACAACCACATCTGCCATTATGATCAACAAGAATGTAACTTTTTTTTTTCGATTTTTTTTTTCTATAGTTTCTTGAAAAAGAAAAATTGAATGTTACATATTGAACAGAAAAAAAAAAGAAAGAACATCTTGAACTACACCGATGCGTTTCTATAATATAAGGTTAAAACAGACGACACACAGAGAAAAAAAAGAAAAAAAAAAGACAATCTTTTGTCATCCATAGAAAGTTAACCGCATTAAAAGCGAACAATGGTTTGCTTTTTTTTTTTGTTTTTTTTTTCTATAATATAATAGTGGCAAAAAAGAAAATATATCTAACGAACAACGTTGAAGAAAAATAATATGTGTAAATAGTTTTTATACATATAATGACGATTTTATATACAGACATGATGAACATAAAAATGATGATGTTTACAACAAACAAACAAAAAAAAAAAAAGAAAAACGATATTTTCTGATTGAATTCAAGATGATCCGGTCGATCCATAATTCATTAATTCAGTAAACGCACGTTCGAATGCTTGATGTAATTCGGAATAACTAACAATCATAACATTTTGTTCATCGCGTGATGTAAGACAGATTTTATCATGTGAACCAGCATCAAACTAGAAATATACAAGGATAAAAGAAAAATCTTTGTTTCTTTTTTTTTATTTTTTACTTTATTTAAACATTGAACAATATGTGCCATATCCATAATTGGTTCACCCTCGAAACCAATTGAATGAAATATAAAATCACGAAACAATTTTAGAATATAACGATCACCTGTTTCTGACCAAACTTGATTCATTGAATGTCTTGAAGGCAAAACAAAAAAAGATTTTTTCATTTATTCATATCAATTAATGAAAATAATTTTTACATACTCAGGTCGTTCGAGTAGTGTATTGAGTTTACAAATTAGTCGAAATAAACGACCACAATCAAGTTCCTAAGAAAAAAATCATATTAACATATAAACGTACAGAATAAAAGTTTTTAACGGCTTGTTAAAACTGTATTCTAGAACTACGTACACCAATAACAGTACTCGAAAAAACAGAACGTTTTGGGAGAGTAAGCCTACAAGTTTATCCATCTTTTTTTTTATAGATATTAGGATTTCGGAATTTCGCCATTGGAGAAAACTTTAATGGGCGAAATTCTAATCACCCCAAGAATCATTATTACCATCAAGACACCAGAACTAATGAGATTTATATTATATTAAAGTTAATTTGATGGATTACTATAAGTGCTCTATATTTTTGTGCATTGGATAATCTCGAATGAATCGATATAATTACATCAAAATTCGTATATATTTCTATTAAAAGCGATTCAACTCTATTTTACAATATATCATTGCAAAAGAATCAAAATAATTGAATTGTTAGGGATTCTTTAATATATAAAACTAAATAGAACGTTAATGAGTTTATAATAAAGAATCTGTTTTCTTTTTCATTAAACATCAACACTATTGTTTTAATAATATGACAAAAATCAAAATGAATGAAGTAATAAACGATTATAATGAAACAGTTTCTTAATTCTACACTCTTTTTTTTTGCTTCTCTCTGTCATCTGAAAATTTCAATCAATGTTGTTCACTATAAAAACTTCTTATTTTGGCTTGTATAACTATGAATGACAACAATATTAAAATGATTGATCCTATGAAAATGTATTCAATGACCTCTAAGCTCGGTTGTTAAGATCTGTAATGGAAAGCAGGTTTACGGTAAATAGTTGAAGTGTAGAATTCGTTGCAATACAGGAAAGTAAAGTTTCCAAAAACATTTTATTAGTGCATAGAAGTCAAGAAAATAACTAATAATTCTATTCAAAGACAACGAGCATTAGACATAAGTATAAATATGAATATTTAGCAAACCCTCTATGATTATGTAGAAAGCATTTTACTTAGAGATCTACTATCATCCATATAGTTTTTATTTATTCTAGATCTTTTGCCTATTGAAATTTTTGTTATTTCAAAATGGATAGTATTTTCGTAAGATTTCGATCAATCCAAAAGATGAATGTTGACATTCAATTACTGTTTTCCGACGAGATTCTCTGCTGATTCATTTCATAAGATACATCTTCATTTCTCACATATCGCCTTTACTCTCACATTGTGCATCGTATGATTAAATTGCATGTGTGTTAATTGAAGTTTGTAGGGCGTAAAAAAAAAGAGATCACGATTTTATCGAACATGCGATCAAATGTCGCTTTTCCGTGAGAAGCTGTAAAACTTATACTTGAAAATATTATTCTGTTTCAGATTTGAGATAATGCGCTTCGTGCTTATTCATCATGAGATGAGTATCAACTATTGATTCTTATTATAACACAATTTTCTTCGAAATGTTTTTACTTCTAGCATTCCTGGCGTAAAAATTGGTTGTCTTATTATTCAGCATCAATATAGACCAAAAATTCAGTCGCCTATTTCATCTATTATTGATACAATCAGTAATACATAAAAAATTCTTTCTTATTATTAAAAAAAAACTTACTTTCGCTAATTCATTTTCAAGTATATCACCGCGTACATGTAAATTATCAATATGTGCATAAAATCGTGCACCAATCATTGGCATACAATCATTAATACTTTTCGTTTTTAATGTATTTGATGGTAATAAGAAATGTCTAAAGAAAAAAAAAACAACTACCATCAATAAAAATCAAATCTATTATTTTCATATTACAATATAAGATTTTTAAGATCATGTGAATAAGTTCTTTGAACTATTTCTAATGATGTTTGTAAATGTTCTTTTTGTGCACCTACAATTGAATTACATGCTAACATTAATATTAAACGACCAAAATCTTGTAAATCATTTTGCTGTAAAATTAATAAATATACATTATGAAAATAAACAATTTTTTTTTATCTTACTATATGTTGTTGAACATTTGCATTAATATTGCCGTCGAGAATATCAGCAATACCTACACCACTTAACCATAATCTATAAAAAAACAAACAAAGCTGTTAGTGCAATTTCTATGAGATTATTGTTTTATTTTATCTATTTTAGGATGCATTTCATAAGGTTTATGACGGTCCGAATTTCTATTCCTATACTTCAACACTCTCTTTTAGATTGTGTTTCACAAAAAAAGCTTGTCAATTTGGCCTCCATAGGAAGCAAATGTGTGCAGAGCTGAACAAGTCCGAATCATTTATTGAAAAAAGTAAAACTTGATAATTTAACACTAAAATCAGTTTCAAAAGAAATTAATAGTTTTCTGCTGGAAGAAAATTTAATCGATGATTTTATTTTCCAAAGAAAAAATAATGTAAAATGATAACGAGTTTTAACATCGTTATATTGAAAATAATCTCAATTGTTTTGTCAAATACATTCTTCAATATCTAACTGTTTTTCACCTATATGATACATGCTATAGGAATAGAGCCCTGCAGGTTGAGAAAATAGCAGGGGAGGGCCAGGTTAAAAAATTTTTACAGAACAGGTTACAGGTTGCAGATATTTTGTACCCTGCAACCCTCTATATAGGAACCGGCAAATATCATTTTATTCTTTGTTTCAATCACCATATTATCCTGCTATACACATTGATTTAATCGGTTTCCTGTTACTATGGAAACGTACCTAATGATCTTCGGCTTTCCTTCTCCCACCTCCGGTTGCTAGAGCCTAAAGGGAAGAAGGAATTGCAACAATCTCGATTTAAACTTACAGACACTATTTTCTTCGAACATATATATATATGTGTGTTAGAATTTAATACCTAGATTTTGCACGCCCCGCTTTTGAGTCTCCATCTACAAGTATTCTTGATAAATGTAAACAACGACAAGAAAGTGATGCTGCATGTAATGTTCGAATTAATGCTGATATCTGTACAACATATTCCCAAATAAGTGCTTCAGCTAATAAACCTGTTTGATTAGTTCCTTAAATTTAAATTATTAAATAATAAAAAAAAAAGTAATGAAAAATAATATTCATAAAACCTTTTCCAGCACTAAATGGACGATCTTCACCAGATATATTATAAGGATTTGACCAACCTTTTAATAGATTATTATTTGAACTAAAATGACGTTTTTGTAATGTTTCACAACATGGTATAAAATCATAAACAAAAACTATAGCTATAAATTAAATAAATTAATTTTAAAATCAAAAAGAAAATTAAAAAAAAAATACAAGGTTGATCATCATTAAAATCTTTTGTTAGAAAAACTTCACGTAATTGTGCTATATTAGCATGATTTATTTTTTTCCATGTTTCAACAACTTCATATAAACGTACTGTTGGTAATTTACAACCTTTATTCAAAAAGAAAATAATTAATATTTCATTGAAGGAAACAAAAAAAAAAAGAATTTTATTTTAATACCCATTATTCGTTTTAAATAACATACAGCATTTGTTCGAATATGTGTTGCTTTATAACTTATTGTTTGATAACGAAAAGTTCGTGATTTATGCGGAACATTTGCTTGACTACTATCAAGTGGCATTAAATTATAATAATCACCTACTCGTTCTGGCATAGCTAGAATTAAAATTTGTCGTAGTTTTTAGACAAAATGTTTGTTCACCGACGAATCAAAAGCTATAGATTAGGACTAGAATTTTATCGCAATTTTTCTATACAATACGATCGATTTCGACAATTTTTAACATGTTCGAAAAAGGTCTTATAGAATAAACAAAAACCTATGGGTTCACCATTAAAAATAATATTTTTTAGGTCTTTTAAAAATTGAACAAAACTAGACACAATATTTTTAAGTTCATATTCAAATTCGGTTCGTGACCTATATTTTATAACTTATCGGAAATACTTTCTAGTGAGTTAAAAGTGAATAAATATCTTATCTCAATAATACCTGCTGCTACATCGAGATTTGCACATGCAGTTAACATTTGATTACGCCTAAGCAGTTCAGCTCTATAAAAAAAAGAAAACACTTAATTCATATAAAAAGAAAGTATTTGGTTTATTTGTCACCTCAATTCATCAGTCATAAAATATGCAAAATCAGGTCGAGCTTGTCGAACCGATGACATATCAGGCGGTACTGTACGTTCTTTTTCTTCATGATGATTCGAACCACTTATTAATAGATCATCATCAGTTAACTGTTGCATCTATATATATTTGTATATACAATCAATATTTTCAATATATATACATATATATTGTAGGCAAAATTAGAAGTCAACTAGAGATAAATTCATATAATCATACGCTTTACTATAAGTGGAATGGAATAATATTTAAGACAGAAAAATGATGCAAACTTTTTTCTAACAACGTTTTTCTGAAATGACAAGCACGCTATAAAAATGTTGTATCTTTTGATATATGTTTTAGAATTTCAGAAAAAGTATTTATCAGAATAATCATGAAGTTAAAACTGAAAAAACCTTGTTTGACAGGATTACGTCATTGTTATTTTTTTTTACGTCGATACAATCTAATCATTTTGTACACTTCAATTTAGCAGGCATAACATTTTGTTCAGAATTAAATTTCACATTCGATAGTACGAAAAATGACTATTTCATAACACTAAGTCTCACTTAGGAACACATGTGAAGTGTAGTGAAATAAAAAAACAAAAGCTCTATTATTCTATTCAGATTTTACTTTTATGAATTTATCTTTAGTTGAATTCTAATTTTGCTCAAAAATATATATCCAATTAATTTTACACTGTATGGTGCCGCTTGTGAATAAGCATAAAAATCCAGATTATTATCTGGAGATATACGTGCATTATTGTCCAAAGCTGCTGCATCAACTAGAAGAAAAAATCAAATAAAATTTAAAAAACAAAATAATATAGTGCATGCAAGAGAAACAAAAATCATGCACAATCTGTATATTGTTTTTTTTTTGTAATACAAAGAGATCATACTTGTCATTTGTAAGCTTTTGCGTACTGAAACATGCAGAAGCAAAATAGTGTGCATTCACAACAAGAAATTATCTGCAATTAAAAATAAATATTTATAATGTAGATACTTACCATGACTGGAAACAGGTCCAAGACTACTGAATGGTCCACTAACTCCAAGATGTGCTAAACGTGATGTACCCAACATAGTATTAGGCTAAAAAAAAAAGAAATCAATAAATGTTGTTTTTTTGTTTTAATCGAGACAAAATGCACGTTGTTATAATTCATTTGCATCAACCCTAGGAGAGAACTACAAATTTTATCATAGTCATTTTTTGTATCCTATCTATCATATGTTTATTTTGAAGATATAAAAACGACGATTACATATAATTTAGTATTAAAATCAATGATAATAATAATAACAAGGGCAACCATTAGTTGGATGTGAATATGAGTGAAGAGTAGACTCTCATACTCCTATCAGAGACAATCATCATGACACAATAGTTTGTCCTGCTAATGGTTTTTTTTTTCATAAAAAATTATTTGAAAGCATTTTCTAAATGTAAACATAAATCTTCAAGAACATGTGCCATCTATGTAATTGGATCAGCTAGTGATGCAACCTACGGACTCAACTAAATGGAGGATAGTCAATCAGAAAGAATCTCTGTTTTGATTGATAAATATATACTTTTTGTAGTGTCATACATCAATGCAAAAAAAAAGTGGCCAGATATTCAATTGAAAGCGATTATTTTTTATTGTCAAGATTTTTTTTTAAAATTCTTTCTAATCGATAAAAGAGATTTGAAGGAAATCTAGGGAATTTGAAAAGAAAAAAACAACCATTATATAATAAAATAAGTACCGTTTCAAACGATCTATGGTTATTTTTGTACACGAATAATATTCTTTTGAAATAACCTAAACAAGATATGAACATTGAATATAAAAAACAACGGTTCAAGGACAGGACAAAAGAATAAAACAGAACGAAAAGAAAGTGTTTTTAACCTATATCCGACTGCTGATTGTCGTTACTAATACTAAATGATGTGTAATCTTTAGTTTTATATCTTTAAAATAAACATATAATAGACACAGAGCAAAAAATGACTTTGATAAATTTTTCATCGATGTAGTTCTCGCGCATAGAGTTGATGCAATATTTTGTAGATATTATTCTTCAAATCAATACATTCAATATGTTTCTACTATTTAATACGACAATGATAGAGAATAAAAATCAACATGGGGTCACAATTTATGAAAAATATTCAAATTATTGAATAATAATCATGTGCACGACTTAGTTTTGGATTCCTGCTGTATATTCTGATGTTATATCAATCTAAGATTTGAAAAAAAATATGAACAAATTCTAATTAATATTATATTAGTTTTAAACTAACTGTACCAGTCGTAATTCAATATTCTAACTATGAACAATCATATTGAATTGTTGAATACAAAAAAAAATGTTTTCATACAATTTAGACAATTTATCAATCTATTCTATCATTTCAGAATTTAAAATAAATGCCATATAATCTATCTATTCAAATTAAATCTTTCAAACAATCTCACATGTGAATATTTGTTCTGTGCTGAATGTGAATGTAAATCAGTTAAATAAGCACTAGAATTATTGTTAGTAGGACCACTAACACTGTTAGTCAATGATGTATCACGTGCCATAATTGATGGTTGAGAATAACTTGAATTATTATAATAAACTGCTGGATTACGTGGTGGTGTCATAAATGTTCTTCCCTAAAAAAATTAAACTAACAAATTACAAATAATCAATTTCTTTCATTGTTTTTTTACTTGTTGAAATGGTGCAACTCCATATGGATCTCCATCGAAGGCACCGTTTGAAATCATCCTTTATATTTTATATATATATATATAAATACGTCTTTTTCAATTCTATCTATCGTTTGTACATTCGTCACCGGTGGTACGGAACCTCAGCCGACAAAACAGGAGCAAATAAGTGAAACAATAGCAAATGTCGTATGATTGGTCTTGTGTTTTTTTGTCGAAGCTAGACATAGATTTGATATTAGTATATGGAGAAAATTATTTTCTATCAAACTATGTTCTTAGTTTTTTCGAAAAAAGAATTACGTTAAAATAGAGGGCGCCATCATACATTGCCGATACAGTTGTCATAGGAAAATAAATTGTGAAATATTGCTTGTTTACTTCTGTCATATTTCTGACTTCGTCATTGTTTTTAAGTATAAATACAGCTATATTCAATTCGAGTTGGTATAGGTTTTTTCGAATTTTTACATTTTTTCTGATGTCAGTCGATGAAGAAACGTGCATTAGAATATTTTTATTAAGTGAATATTCATCAAAATACACGGAATATATTTTATCAATTCATTTCGATATCAAGTTACAATATTGAAATAAATTGAAATCATTGTTCTTGATTGTAATTTATCATATATTTATTTTGATTTCATATTATTTAAATCATATCTTTTCATAATTCCTATGTCTAACAAACATTTACTTAAGGAAATAGATAATAAAGAAAAAGCTTTCCACGTAATCTCTACGGGATTAAAATATTAAATACGATGGATTTATTTTAACCATTGTAGGAAATCTCATCATCTATACTTCAACACTCATTAACAATCATGTTTCACAAAAGCATTGCACAGGCGAAGTAGGAGTCTCACGTAATTTCCGTAGTGATTCAGAGGCAGATATGACTAATCGAAAGATCGATTTGACCATTATAAGATAACAAAAAGTGAAAAATGACTCATGGTGATCTATCGACCGAACCGATCAAGTAATGAAAAAATCTCTACCAGTTGCAACTCTTTTTTTTTATACAAAAATAACATGATAGAGACTAGGAAATTGCACTTTGGTACTTAATTAAATATACAGAAGTATATAAAATGAATACTTTTGTTATAAGAAAACGTCTCAAAGTGAACAAAAAACAAGAAATATCGAAAATATTTTCAGAAGAAAAAATTTGTAGTTACGATCTGTCATGACCGATAAAAATAAATTTATTGCTTGTTTTCATTATTATACGAAGAAAAACTGTGCGCTAGTTGCATTTTATATCACTTACATATTCACTGTAGCTGCTAGAGCAGAAAAAAAAAGAATTTTTAGCACCGTCGACTGACCTACATATATATATGACTAAGCATTGACTCTAGAGTCGTCATTATCTAAATGGTTTTCTATGAAATTAGAATTAATTTTCAAAAATCAAGTATTTTTCGGACATTATAAAATCACTTAGCCATTTATAGTAACTTGAAAAACGTTTGAACTTTGCTAATTCGATTTCCTAGAACGCAGAATTCGTTAAAAATATACAATGCATGTACTTATCCACGTCTTTACGTATTTCGAACGTTCCTCTATAGAAAGAAAGAAAGATAATGACATTTTCAGTATTAAATTCCTATTCGTTCAATATAGGCGGGCATTATCATGCATTTATAATCATCTGTCAATGACGATCGCGTAAACATAAGTTAAGCTAGCAAATTGAACCTGACTAAACTGTCTAATTCACTGTATGAGTTACAAGCATTAACTATAAGAACCCTGGGAAAAGTATCTAGATATATGGTATCTTCACAAAGTACATCTTTTGCTATTAATTCGATGAATCATCGAGCGAAGGATATATATCACAGTAACAAGAAAAACGACAAAAATGATCTGTCAATTCTTCTCGTTAACATCATCGATGTACTATATCTAAAGTAAGAGAAAGAATTATTTAAATCTTCTAATTTCTTTAAAAAAAAAGGAATCTTCATATATCGTTAGTTTGATTATTTGAAGCATGTTGTTAAATCGAATGAGAATGAATAAAACAAAATAATCATAATAATAAAATCATGAGATTATTAGGAATGGCATAGAATAAAGGAAACAAAAATGTTATGGAAAGTACTGTTTAATACACCAGACAATAAGTATTCTTTCAAAAAAAAGTTTATTGATTTTTGAATATGCCATTTACCAAAGTGGACCGCTGGATTTACCACCAGGTGGTTGAAATACACGAACACTCGTATGCACATTCTGAAATACAAAACATAAATTAGTGTTTTAATATAGAAATAAATGTAAATTGAAAAAAAAAGAGGTCAAAAAACTGTTCTCAGGACACAAAATTGTCCACATTATTGTCTATTTAAGACGGGTAAACGGTGTGAAAATCATCACCGAACAGTTATATTCTATCAGTTTGATTCGAACTACTACAAAATCGACTATTACCATTCAATTAAATATTTTGTTTACCTTTTGAGCATTATTTCCATCATTAGTATGATCAGGTTTCTCAACTGTTTTTTGAATATTACTATTCTCAGCTGAATTCGTTGATATTGCTTGAGCATTATCATTTTCTTCCTCATTTGTTTTAATTGGTAAATCTGTTTGTTTATCATTTTTACTATTTTTTGGATTTAAATTATCTGCCATTGAATATGATTCACCATTAATTGGATTATATCCCACTGTAATAAACAAAAAAAACAAAATAAATCAATCAAAAATTCAAAAGATCAAATTATATTTTGCAGCAAAAGAAAAAAGAAAAAAAATAAGCAAAGTATTAAATTATAAATAAATTTCAAAAGTGAAATATCCAAAATTATGATTTTCTTTTCATCTCAAAATTAATGTTCTTTCTTTTCGAAGCAAGCTATGAATGAATAAATACAATAAAGCAATAGGCATTTACATGAATACAATTGAAGCTTGATGGATAATAGACACCTAAATAAAAGCATCATGCGTGAAGGTCTTATTCATTTTCGAATACACGAAGATAACTATATCATTAAGTAAGTGATACACACAAGACAAAAAGAGAATGAAATATCTGTATTTAGCACACAGTGTTGGAAAGTAAAGTTTAATAAAAAGTCTAGGAGAAATGGGACAATATAATACACCTCTCATTTCCTTTTTTTTTCGTTTTTTAGTTAACAAACCAAACAAAAACAACAAAAATAAGAAACAGCAGACTCACTGCGTGATGCATTTGGATCTAAATAAAATATTTAATAATTTTCAATCTCAATAGCAAAAAGATATTCTTATGCCAATAGATGATTGTTTATCATCATTACTGATTAATTTCAACTTACCTCGTAAACCTTGTCGAACACCTGATTGACGTTTATTTTGTTCATCATCGGTACTACCAAAGACATTTGATTTATTTTTATTCGAAACAGAACGTGCTGGTGCTGGTTCGTCCGTTTCAAAAATATTCGATTTCATTTGTGTTTGTTTATATTGATTAGCAATAGTTCCAGCTCTCGTATGTGTTTCTTCAGGATTAGTACCAAAGATATTACTACAATGACCACCCGGTGGTACATGAACACTAGAAAATATATGTGAATAGAAAAAGTTGAAAATAAGAAAAGATCGTGTACCGAATTGATGTATGATCTTTTGAAGGATTTGACATAATGAATAAGGCTTTTCGGTTTTATTTTTATATAAAAATTGAATAGTTCTATTGTTAGATACTGCAGGAGAGAAAAAAAACTTTTGATTTGACGTACTGGAAAAAAAAAGAATATGACGACGATGAATTGTTATGGTTGCCATTGAACCAAAGAATAAACACTTTTAAATAGAGATCAACACATTATTTTTGTTAATTAAAATATTGAATTAGAGAAAAATATTATTTTGAAAACGATTTTGTTTTCGAAATTATTATACTATAATCAGATGGAATTCAAAAAAAAATCAATCAACATACAATAGATGTCGCGACACAATGTTGTGGAAGTGTGACTGTGGGTTCATCTTATCCTAACTCACACTCTAATAGATGAAAGAGACAACAGATCTTTTGCATACATATGAATGCTGATTAACAGTTGTAACACATCTGAGAAACAAAGTGTTGCTAGTGAAAACATTTTTTTGCAAAATTTTGGACAAAAATATTCAAAGCATATAAAACTTAATAACTCTATTTAGTAGCAATAATTAGATATATTATTCAATTTTTAAGTGTGCACTATCAGAGTAATTCAGTGTTAGCATTTGAATAGCAAATCAGAATTTATACATATGAGAATAATCATCCATCTAAGTTACGTCACATAAGATGAATATGAATATTGAAAGAACCATGTCGGCCATTTTCTTTCGAAATTGAGAAAATGATATGACATATTAGACTATACTTTTTGGACTATATAGTAATCAAAACTAAGAATATTATTGAATAAGAGAATAAGAAACGCATTCATACAGTATAACTACTAAGGCAACTTGGAAAAACGACCATTAGAGGAAAAAGCATATGAATCATTCATAGAAAATAACCAAAATACTTTACTGCAAACTGTGCTTCAAACTCGACTACATGTGTCAAAATATATCAGATAGTTATTGCAATTTAACTGTTGAACTTTATTTGTATTTTTGTTTTGTATCGATAATTCGACATAATTTCTGCCAAATTATTATACAATATGTTCCTAGAAACAGCTTATGTATTTACCTTTAAGATGATTTTGAAGCAAATATCCTAATCAGAAAATATCTTGAAACTGTAACAATTTCATGCAAGATCCTATATTCACTACAAATGAACATCATCACAACTGATAGTTCCATGTAAAAGTGAAGTTATCATTAGTCAATAACTATTAGAACTATGTTGGACTAAACTTTTACTTTGCCAAGAAGTAAATTGTAGACTCAAGATGTAATAGATTTTCTTGAAGACTCTCCTTGATCAAAGAATTTGAAATAATTATCTGCGAAGGTCAAACAATATCCAAAAAGTGACAGAAACTCAAGAAGTTAGTGGTGTTTGAAGATTTGTAAAAATGAAGTCAGAAAAACGTAAGAACTTCTAGTGGGCATCCAGATTTAGAATACTTCAGATGTGTTATATAAATTATTTGCGGCATTAACTTTGTTTATTGATTTGCTTTTTTCGGACAAAGACGAAACTAATCATAAATGAACTTTACAAAGTAAAAACATTGTATTCTGATTTTTATATGCTTATATAGCATAACTTTTTTACAATTTTATATCGTTCTTTGTCCGTAATAACACATGATGATCCTTTATCAGCTTTCATTATAACAATGGTTTCATGCCTCATTTATGATTTTAATGCTGATAATTCCCTAGGTCGATGATTACGGACTTCGTATACAACTGTAAACGACATCGATACGATCGTTTACGGTCGTATTTTACCGTAGTATACGGACTGTGTATACAAAAATCGTAAACGACCGTATTTTTCTCCGTATATCGCCCTATTATCCCGTATATGATACGGAGATTTACGATCGTAATACTGAGCCATGCATTTGGTTGTATTTCTTCGAATACGATCGTTTACGACCGTGCTTGTTCGACCTGCGTCGCTTGGAGTAATATTTATAATTGTTTTGTTTTTGTTCATTTTTTAATAATTGATAAACCGCTCTTTTTATACAATTAGAAATACATTGATCTAAAGACTTCGTTTCTGGCTCTTCTAGCTGTTTCAAGATATTAAAGACCATCATTTCAATATCATTTTTAAATTCAGTGTTGTCTTTGATTTTTGTTTCAATAGAGAATTGAAGATCTTTTGATAAAATAGATGCTTCTTCAGCAGATAATTCATGAAACGAGATATTATATACTATTTTCTTTACATCAACTTATTCTAATTTCACATTATTATTAAATAAACTTTGTACTTTGTTCTTCTAAATTGTTCTTATTTTTATTTCTTCTTTTTATTTTAATAGTTCATTTTCAAATGCATTAATTTTATCATTAATTTTTGTTAACAATTTTTGACTTTGTTCTTTTAGTTTGAATATTCGTTTGCAACGTCGGTGAAGTTATCACTAGATTCGAGTTTTTCCAGGCCGAATTCGCTTCGGAACTTGTTTCAAGTAGAACTCGACGAACTCTATCGATTGGCATAATCAGATTTTTATAGTTCAAACGGGTCGTCTAAAAAACCAAATACTTTTGGGGCTAATTAGTCCCTATTGGAAAAAAAATGAAAAATCGTTTTTTTAGACAATCAGTTTGAACTCGAGAAAACCTGATTATACGAATCGATAGGGCTCGTCGAATTATACTTGGAACAAGAATAGCACGGTTGGAACATGTTACTTGACGAATCCGGGGTGAAAATACTTTTGAAAATGTTTTGGCTCCATGGGAAAAAAAAATCGAAAAACCGGTTTTTTAAATGACCTGTTTGAGCTATAAAAAATCTGATTATGCTAATCGATAGAGTTCCTCGAGTTCTACTTTAAACAAGAATAGGAGATTTGAAAGAAGTTTCTGAGCGAATCCGAGCTGGAAAAACTCAAATCTGATGATAACCTCACCTACGTTTGTTTGCATTTGATGTGATATCCTAATTAGAAACAATATCTTTCATGTTGTTAGTAAATTTCCTTTTTCATGCAAGTCTTGCTTCATAATTTATATTTCATAAATTTTCGTATTAAATTGTATAGTAGACAAATCCTAACAAATCTCAAGTAAAAAAACATAAAAATATATTGACAACTATTCATTTCTTTTTTTTTTCTTCCTTTTCTTTTCTTTAACAAAATGTAGACGCAAATGTAGTCCGCTTTGCATCGCAATGTTAAAGAAAAGAAAAGAAAGAAAGAAAAGAAATGAATAGTTGTAAATATATTTTTATTTTTTACTTGTGTTTTGTGTTGATAACGAACTGAATTTCAGTTTAAAATATTGACTAGAATTGTTGTAATAAAGAAATTCCAAAAATAATAATCAATGAATTCGTATTCTTAGTTATTGATTTATTTAAATACATCTCATCAAATAACATTCAGTTTATATGGGCGAAACAGCTCGTGATAAGATAACCAGAATAAAAGAACGCTAACACAATGTTAAAAATATGGCCCTTAACTCTAAAATTTTTCAACATGTTTACCAAAATTCTCAAGTAATGAATTTTAGTGATGTTACGACATTCGGTCATAAATTCGATTGGCGAAGAAGAATTATTAAAGAATCGTTTTTTATGTAAGAAATGTAGGGAAAAGCAATCAACGATACAAAACTCATCATCAAAATATTTTAACCAAACAAATTAATAACAAGCAATCCATGTACAATTCATCGTACATGGTTTTGATGGTAGTTACAAGTTCTAACGAACTATTTTAATATAAATGCTTGTCTTAAAATAAACGAAAAGAATAATGAGAAATGACATTATAGAAACAAACATCAAAATGACAATCATTTGTTTGATGATGACCTAAATATAGAGTCGAAAGCTTGCAATATTTTGCTTTTTGTTTTGTTACTTTTAAAGTTTTCATTAAAACAATAAAATTATTTTTACAGTACTTCTTTACTTCATTTTTTCAAAATTCTTGCTTGAATATTAAGTGCAGTATGCACTTTAATGTAGAAGCGAAAATTTTCTCTGTCCATTTTTACACAAAGATGAATAGTATTAAGGTTTAATATAACTTTATTTCTTTAACTTTCTTTAGAACACACTAATAAACGAAACATTCAAAAAACAAATAACAAAAGAGACATCTGTCTTTATATTTATATATATGTATATCTGTATGTGGACGGTTAAGTATTCGTAGAGACGAGAAAGAACGAAAAAAGAGAAGAGAAGAGTAAAACAAGAATACACAAAGAAGACAATGTAATCAAATGTTATAGTCATATATAATAAGAAACAGTTCATATTGAAATTTGATTATTATGATATCAGTTAAAGAATAATCAAATATCATAGAAAAATAGACCATTATTTTTACGATCACTGCATACCACGAGAAAGTTATCTTAACCTTTCTATAAGGAAATAAAGTACCTCCGCTATCACTTTTATATAGTTCTATGTAATTGTTTCAGCTTTTTTCAAGAAACCAATTATCTATGCAGATAGTGCTCCAAGGTAAAGTGATTAGCCAAATTCATATAACAATCAAAATATTTGCCACATGATCAAAAAAATATCGATTTCAGGATGAATGCCTTGTGATCAAACGTAAATATAAATTAGTGATGATATGCGTATGAGAGAGTGACTAACTCGCTTGTGTTTTATTCAAATAATGAATAAAAGTATGCAATACGAATAAACAATGAGCCAACATAGCATAAAAAAGAAGAGAAACAGATAATTAACGTATGTACACATATGCATGTGCGTGGAAAATATCTCTTAACATCGCCATGAAGAATAGAGATAGATAAAAGCCGTCGAAATACATTTTGTTTTTCATAAAAAATACGCCATTATATCAAAGGTCGCTGATAGGTCCTCTCCTTTTTCTTTTCTCTATGTGTGTATAAACAGTCGTATTTGGACGTTAAATATAGAACGCATCACAATCAAAGAAAAAGCAAAAAAAAACAGGCTTAATTACCTTTGTATAAAGTATATTGTTTATTTGTCTTTAATCATTATAA